CTGCATATGGAGATAAGGAATAATGATATTTTGGTTACAAATTTTGAAGGGATGCAACAAGAATTATCTGTTGTGAATTAGGTAGCTGGGTTTCTGGAGATACTGATCAGATGCAGAAAACTTCTAAAGATAAAATTTTCAATATTCAAGGTAAACATATTCCTTATAGAAAGAAAAGGGTAGCTACAAGTAAAAACCAGGTTGGCTCACAAAGAGTTTAAGAGAGAAAATTTAAAGCATCATAAATTTAAGAAATATAAATTGACTGGTATGACAGGAGACTTAGAAGATTATAGAAGACCAAAAAAAAGTTGGTGAAGCAAGAAATTTGGACATCAAAAAGGATGTATGAGAAAAGATTAGCTGAAAATGTAAAAATTAACAGTAAGGATTTCTTTAAATACATTAAGACAAAACAAAACGTTAGGATGGGGTAGGACCCTTGAGGGATGATAAAGGAAGGCTCATATCTGATGATCTTGAGATGGCTGGGATATTAAATTTTGCTTTTTCTTCAGTTTTTACTAACAAGATATTTAATCAGTATTCCACATTATGAACAGTTGATAGATGGAAATGAGGCAAAACAAGATGACTGTTCTTATTCTGAGCTGGTTAAGAAAAAATTGGGAAGTTTAAAGAATGATAAGGCTCCTGGACCAGATAATTTTTCCCCAAAGCTTTTGAAGGATGTTAAAGATTGAATACATGAGCCACTTACTGTTATTTTTTGTCAGTCCTTGAATAGTGAACAGGTACCAGAGGATTGAAAGTTGGCTAATGTAACTCCTCTTTTCAAGAAAGGTGATAAAAATTGTCCCAGTAATTATAGAACCATTAGTCTTACATCAGTTGTGGGAAACATTTTGGAAAGTCTGTTAAAAGATGCTTTGCAAAGTCATTTAACAAATTTTAGAATTTTATTGGATAGTCAACATGGTTTCACTAAGGGAAAATCTTGCTTACAAATCTTTCAACATTCTTTCAAAAGGTTACTGCTTATGTAGATGAGGATAAGGGTACAGATTTGGTGTATCTGGATTTTCAGAAACATTTGACAAAGTGCCACATAAGAGGCTTGTAAAAAAAAAATTAGCTCTATAAGTGTGGGGGATAAGTTAGCAAATTGGATAGAAGAGTGGCTAGATGGAAAAAAGCAGAGGATTGTTATTAATGGAGTTCAGTCAAATTGGGGTACATCAGGGCTCAGTCTTATGACCTTTGCTCTTTTTGATTTACATCAATGGCATAGATGTAAGGAATTGTCAATAAGTTACTTACATTTCCAGATGATATTAAGATCTTGGGTGTTGCTAGTTGTGAAGAGGATGCTGCTGATTTACAAAAGGATTTAGATCATTTAGTGAGTTGGGCAAATAACTGGCAGATGGGTTTTAATTATAATAAATGCAAGATAATGCATGTGGGTTATTATAATTTTAATTATAAGTATAATTTGGATGGGAATAACCTTAACAGTGTTATGAAGGAAAGGGATCTTGGTGTAATAGTCAATCAGTCTCTACAGCCATCCAAGCAGTGTGCTGTTGCTAGTGGTAAGGCAAATAGGATTTTAGGTTGTATCTACAGAAATATTGAATAAAAGTCTAAAGAGGTTATAATTTCATTGTACAGGTCACTGGTTAGGACACATTTGGAATATTGTGTTCAGTCTTGGGCTCTTTACCTTGGGAGAGACATTGAATTGTTGGAAAGGATTCAGGGAAGAGTTACTAAAATGGTGCCTGGGATGGAGGGGTTGTCATACGAGGAGAGGGTGAAATTTCTCAAATTGTTTTCTCTTAAAAAAAAAGAAGAGTTGGGGGGGGGATTCAGATTGAGGTGTTTAAGATTATAATAGGAATTGATAATGTTGATGCATCATCTATTTTCATATTTAACAGTCAGAATAGTAGGACTAAGGAGATACAAATATAAATTTTGGCAAGGTAGGAGTCATCTTCATCCAAGACAGTTTTATTTTTCTAAAAAAGGTGTTTGGTCTTTGGAATGGGTTGTTTTCAGACATCGTGGAGGCAGTAAATTTAAGTGAGTCTAAAAGAAAGCTTGAATGATAAGGGCTGGCTTTAAGTTTTTTTATTTATTTAGTTTAGTTTAGAGGATGGGACAGCCGAGATTGACCAATAGGTACCATGTTGTCCCAGAACATTATGTTAACCTATATTTGGTTAGTAAGTGATGTTGCAAGAGAACCAATGGCATGCCTGTATTTTTTAGGTTTTCATTATAAATAATTTACAAAATATTTAATCTACAACAGCATGATTATAATTTTTTAAATCTTTTATTTATTAATATTTTGTATATTTTGCCATAATATTTGAATAACAAATTAAAATATCAAATTACCATTACCAACACACACATATATATATATATATATATATATAGCTATATAGCCCAGAAAGGATTAATACACTTGTCCTGTTTAGTTTATTTTGTTTTGTTTTATCAACTGAGATTCAATAAGTATTGATATTCTTAGCTAACAAGAATGTTGTTTCGTATTCATGATCTGTACTTTTCATAACTGTTCTGGAGAGTAAGCAGCTCTGACTGGGCCAGTTCATCCTGTAACATTTTATAAGGTGTAAGGATGAAATAATTTTAATATCAATAATTAAATTAAGAGCCTATAAGAGTCAACAAATACTTCTATTTCAGAAGAGTAACATGCTTGAGAAGAAAACAAGTCTGTTATAGTTTACTAGAACTTTAGCATCTTGTAAGTTTTCTAACATAGGCTTTGAAACTTAGGGGGAGGGGGCAGTACCACTTGCTATTGCAAACAAATATTTTTTCATGCAGTTCTATTTTTTACCTACCAAAATTAACACTGAAAGTATGATTGTAAATTTCAGAAGTAACAATATATGTAATATTTAGTAGAGTTTGTACATTTCTGTATAGGCATAATGCACATTTTTAATTTTCTCACCACTTGGCCTGACATACAGGAGTGCTGTGTGCATGCATGATTTTCACCCTGTAAAGGGGTTTTGTTCAATGGTTTTCAGCACCCGCTATATAAATTTTTCCAGCAGAAGTGCTCCTTTGCAATATCAAGTTGAGATTGCACATCCCTTAGTCTCCTTGTGGTGTTATTTCATGACTCCCTAATGAATCTAGCATAATTTTTAGCCATCTATCAAAATCTCACACTGGAAATATGGTCACACTGTCTTTCATCACAGTCAGTAAAAATAGTTTTCACAATGTGGTGAACAGACTTATCAATCTTAAAAATGTAGTACAATACTCAAGGAAAAAGAAGATAATCTAAAAGATTTTTAATCTAAAAGATTTGGTAGTTACCTTCTTCCATGCAGGCTAACATCATATATTAGGCTTATGGCAAATTAAAGGAGGGTCTGGTATTGCTTTTGTTGCAATTTAATCATAGCTTACAACCAATATTAACAAGAAAGATCAGTTATGTTGTTTAAAATTAATACCTTGCATGTCAGAAAATATCTGCCCCCAGTTTTGAAAAGGTTCCAAAGCCTATGTATAATAAGAAATCAAATGACTGGAGATGTAACAGAAATACTAATACACTGAAGAATTAAATATTTTATGTAAGAAAAAACTACAGTGAAAGTAACATATTATGGTGGCTCTAATCTACATCAAAAACCCTATTCATTCACTCTGAACATATTTCTAAACTACATAATAATTATTCTTAATTATTTTTTTCCAAGTCCTAGTGTCCACTTTTATCTCACTCAAGTTGGAGTCAAGTACATGAGTATCATACAGTTCCTACCTAAATTTCCCACAAACAATATCAGTAAACTGACAGGTTTTTCAGTATAATGGCTGTCTTTCATGAGACTTGGAAAGAGTAAGCTTCTTAAAGCAACATTGAAACAGAACTCTTTCATTCTTTCATGAAAATAGTGTTTTAAGAGCCAAAAAGATTATGACTATTTGTCAAGAATTTTCTACTTGTAACCCAATACCTCAAGACTGCTTTTAAATTAGAAAACAGTTTCACAAGATTTAGCAATAAGATAGAAAAAAATGCCTTGGTTAGCAGTGATACAGGCCAATCTAAATGACAGCCATTAATGGACCTTTTAGGTTGAAAAATTGTGATGGGAGTATTAAGAATGAAACACTATAAATATTGGAAATCTTACTGTGGTCTTTTATCACATTTCATACCAACTTAATGTTCAGAACATGTTTTGTCAGCTTCAACACTATCTATTACAAATGTTTTTCTTTAATAGTACATACGTTTAAATACAGGGATTGGACAAAAAGAAACACCTAACTAAAAATGTGCCCATTCTTCCCCAGATGTTCAATGGAGTAAATCCTCAACTGACTGATTAATATTTAATATTAACTTCCAATAAGAGCAAACTACTTACTACTACCTACTTAGAGCAAACTAAAAAATTAACCTCGTAAAAAGTATAGCTAATTAAATATACTTTTCATACTTTCTTACTTATAAAGATCAGAATATATTGTTCCACCAGTTTGGTACACTTGCTGTTAACATCTTTGGCCATAAACCCAATAATGTCTCATGAGATTTAAATTAGATCTAACTCGTATACTAAGCTAACAATGCAATACAACCTCCTTAATGAAAATATAACAATAAAATATTTAAAATAATAAAGCTAGATATTTTAAACCTTCTAACCAATACTGTTAACGAAAATAACATTAAATAAATAAACAGAGTATACCTCACTTATGAAACACTAGCTGTCAGCTTTTTCCAATGACCTCTTACACAGATTACCTATATTATTTAAATGTTGGTAAGCTATATTCTAAATTAGTTTTCAAGCACCTTAAGAAAGACATGTGGCTTAGTTAGACTTTCAAAGAAGACAGATTGTAGGAACTCCAAGTAACATACACTCTAATTACTCAATTTGCATAACTTCTTGGCTTTTCAAAAGAAGCAAATATCAACGGTTATTAGAGTATGGTGATTATCCCATAAGGCTCATCACGTAAATGTAACAGTGGTTGGAAGATCATCATGAGGGATCGAGAATGCTGTGATTTATGTTCTTAAAGAATGGAATACGATTCCTCTAAATAGCTTTCAGGATCTTTCAGGTGCCCTACTATAAAGAATTGAAGTAGTTCTAACCACATATTACTGAGGTGATTTCATTGGGTGTTTCTAATTGTTTTTCCAACCCCTGCACAAGGATATTTAAGTCAATGGACACTTACTTTTGTAATGATTAAAAATACACCATATATTTTATCAACTTACATCTTCTCTCACACATGAACCCATGATTGCTCTGTCTATCCAGGATAATGCCTGAGGGTAATTCCCTTCTCCAATGTAAGTCTGGAAAAAATAAACACTAATTTATTTGAATTCCAAGTAACTGAAATCTATTATATCATTTATGAGCACAAAACCCATAAAAAATTATAACTTTTTGTGTTTCAGAAAATGGTAATTGTTAGATCTAAAAATATTTTTATTTTATCTGAATGATATGTCATACCTTCTTTACATACTTAATTGATATCTAAGGTCTACAAACTTGGATGATATAAAACTGTTTTTATTTTATCAGGATGATATGTTATATCTTCTTTACATACTTAATTGATATGTAGGTCTACAGACTTGGAAGATATAAAAATGTTTTCATTTTATCAGGATGATATGTTATATCTTCTTTACATACTTAATTGATATGTAGGTCTACAGACTTGGAAGGTATAAAAATGTTTTCATTTTATCAGGATGATATGTCATATCTTCTTTACATACTTAATTGATATCTAAGGTCTACAAACTTGGAAGATATAAACTGTTTTTATCTTAAATGAATGATATGTTATACCTTTTTTACATACTTAATTGATATGTAGGTCTACAGACTTGGAAGATATTAAAATATTTTTATTTTATCAGGATGATATGCCATATTTTCTTTACATAATTAATTGAAAACTAGGTCTACAAAATTGAAAGACATAAAAATGTTTTTGTTTGAATGATATGTCATAACTTCTTTACATGATTAACATCAAAGTCTATAAATTTGAAATAAGAACCCATGGAATCAGAATTGGGTAACACTGATGCTTGAACCTTGGGGTCCTACAGGCACAGTTTACATAAAACTGATTATGAAGTATGAAACAGCTTAAAATCAATAAGAGTTTCAGGTTACACCTTGGAATCAACAAATTAAAGTATAAAGTATTATTTTGTATTTATTACATTAAACAGTATATTTTATAATGGAAAACTTTAAAAGCTAAGAAACATAACAATAAAAACAAGTTTCAGGGTGTATGTTGAGTCAAGATAAATTCATGGAAACATAATAACTTCATAAGTATTTTACACTTCATTTTTACTGCTTTTAAAATAAAAATTAATACTGTTTGTGACACCATTGGATACACTATACTGACTATACAGAATCTACATTTACTTTACTGTGCCAATAATTTATTACGGTATAAATTCCAAGAACTTATGAGTGAAAATAAAGAATGTATAACAATGTGTCAACCACACTATATCTGTTTATATTCAGTACTGATAAAGCCTTTTGCCTAATACCAGGGCTCATGAGGCCAGCTGGGGATATGACAGACACAGTAGCGGTTGAAACATTTATATTATCAAATTGCATGAGCAACAACTGTTATGGCGTGAACTATATTAAGCTGGTAAACTGACAGCAACTGATGTTCACATTCATCTGGTTAAACTTCTTCTATAACTTTCAGTAGAAAACTGCTTTCCAGTACTTATGGTTGTCGACATTTTATCAAACAAATCTACAGTCCACTAACTGACTAAGTAGTCGATTGAATACAGCTTCAATGCTTTATGTATTACATCAAATTCAATGATGCATATTTTATCATATAACATTCTTTTATAGCAAATTTTTTTACTACTAATAATCAACCACAACAATCACTAATTAACTTGTTAAGTCTAATTTTGCTTGAAAACTCAGATTGTGATGAGTTATGTCATTTTTGATGAAAATACCTCTAATTTTCCAAATATCAAGTGGTAGAGGGTACATGTATCATTAAGATGTGTTCCGAATTTTATTAAACATCTACCAAACTGTTTTTTAGAAAGTGTGAACACAAAAATTGTATTGTGTTCATAGATTGGTTGAAATTTCCAATATTATACTTGACCCTTAAGTACTAGTGACACATTTCCTACAGTGTAAAATTAATCACCTGCTATTTAAAGTTATAGGTACCAATGTTCAACTTGAATACTGCAACTATGACAAATAACATTATGTCTTACTATAATACAATAAAATTACGACACAATGAAACAGTCATATTTAACATTAAATTTTAAGTGAAAAAGCCAATAAATGAAAAGAGACTCCAGGAGTTGAACCCAGGACCTTGAATTTAATTCAATTATAATGTTGCAGTGTTTTTTGCATAATTTTCATATGACCATATAATCTGTGGTGCATTGCATAATCAAATAATAACTTTTTACTTAGTTTGTTTTTGTTGTTTGGTAAGACTGTGTAATTAATGGCCTGGCAAAAGAATTATAGAGTCTAAAAGTGTGTTTGCTGTTGTTATTTCATAACAAATATGTGTTAAGCTGCTGTTAATGGTGCAATTGCATTAAGTATGTCAAAAATACTTTTAAATGTTATTGTTTTAAGCTGTTTTTACTTTAGGTAAGGGTTGCATAATTGAAATTTTAACGTGTAATCAATGCATAATTTTTAATTTTCTATGCATAATTAACAATTTTATGATGCATAATTTCAAACTTTTAGGTACATAATTTTGATTTTTTTGCCTCATACACATTGAGGCCCTGGTAACTGAGATATTGCCCTCATTATATCTATCCTTAATCAGAGGATAAATTTTTCTGTCTTTTCACACAGAACCTAAGCTTTTCAAAACCTGGGAATAATTTGTGACATAGTTATTGCTCACATTTATATTACGCATACTGAGCCTGTGCAAGTATACATATTTAAATTGCATAAAAGAAAATAATCAATGAATTTATTGCAGTTTTTTCTCTCTCTTTTTTTAAGACTTCCTATTTTTTGTAAAGTGTTTATAGACGTAAATTTCATGGTGTCAATACATAACTTTGTCTCTCACCTTAGCAATGAAAAGCATGTTTTCTTTCCATCCAGGTTTTAGTTGGTGAGCCTACATAAAAAAAGTAGAATTAAAAAAAATAATAATTTACAGTATTCAGTTTGTATATCTCAAACTCATCAAAAATCATTAAATCAATATCTCTAAGAGAATGACTTCATTTTCAGACTCTCACACATTTAAACAGTTATGGAGAATAAAACTATTTTGTAATTTGAGTTACAAGTAGCAAATAATTAAAAATGAAAACTGAAACAATTATTTCATATTTTAACATCTGACCACAGCTAATGTGACAAAAATTACTATAAAAATCCAGATTCTTAGCATAGTGGTTTTAAATCATGTTACTCCTTTTTGTTGGTACGTAATTAAAAAAACAGTTATTATTTGTTATTTAATTAAAATATTGTACTATATGCAGCAGTTAACATTTAACTTTTGAAAATATTAATGGGGTAAAGAAGCAAAGAATAGCACTCTTCTCAACTATATCCTATTCAACACTTTATACAAAGATATTCTTAAGTGAAGTGACACTAATCACTCCTGTTTCTTAACTGGAGTAGAGCTGGACAATTTAATCAATTACCTATGAACAGCAATGACATTGATTAGTATCTCATACACTAATCAATTAATGTTACAGAAATAATCAACTAATTGGAATTAGTTGTTCCAATTACAATTATTCCAATTATCATCTAAGTAATCAAAATAGTCTCATTTTGTTTGTTGTTAAGCGCATAATGGGGAAGGAGGGAGGGAGTGCTTCATGATTTGAGAGTCACACATTTAATCCCAATTGCACTATAACTTGCTCACTCCTTCTTTGTTGTTGCAAAGCTACTGAGACTATTTGCCACTGTCACAAACTTTTAACTGTTGTTTAGATGGAAGGCAAATAGGTGACAGCACTCACCACTAATTCTTTTGTTAGTTTGTTTTAAAGCAAAGCCATGTCAGACTACCCGCTGTGTCCAATGTGGTGAATCAACCCCACCTTTCAGTTCTCTGGTTATTTAAGTGTTGAATAAAGTGTAAATTTACCATTTTTATTTTTACATTACTTTTCTAACTTATAATGGTATAGATTTATTATTTAATGATGGATCTAGGGAAGTGGTCCAGGGAGGCTGAACTCACTCCACCCATTTTTAAAAAATTAATAACTGTATTATTTAATGTTGTACAAGCAGGTGTAGATGTAAGTGGTCCAGGGGGAGGCTAATCCACCCATGTGTTTTCAAAAATCAATAAAAAAAAATACAGGCAGATACCCTTACACTATCATATAGTATCAAAAATGAACACTAGTTATTTTTTATTTGATTGGGCTATTAATTACCATCAAATATTTTTGAGGTTTTCTACAATTAACACAGTTGGAGTCTACAGCAATCTAGTTAAAGCCTTAGACAGTAAATTATTACTTTTAAGCTAATACAACAATACAAAAGTCAATTAAATGTTGCCATGGTAAATTTTCATTCCTTAGTTTTTTTCCATACACTCTAACAATGTGTCTAGGCTTTAGAGGTTTGTTTTTGTCAAAGTTAGTACTTTTTAGGACACCTGCAGTTCTTATAACACAGAACTGTCACAGAATCAATGACTATTGCTTAGAAATTCTCTTAAGAAAAATGGTTTTCATATTGTTGATACTCAAGATAAGTGAAAATGCAACTGGACGGACTGCATAAGTAATGACTTTTTCAAAACTTTGAAAAAGTATCCTGTTAACCAATGCTATAAGTGTTTTTATAAATATGATTATATATAATTACAACTATATAATTTTAATCACAAAATTTGAAATTTTTATTAAATGTTTTTATTTTCATATCAATCACATTACTAGAAATAAAGATATAAATTATTTACAGAATATATTAATGTTATTTTAACTTTTTTTCTTATTTAAGTTACTTTAGGACTATATGGTCAACACTGATCAATCTAAAATACTATATTATACTGGGACTATTTTCTTTCATGTAAGAAATAATGAGAATTTGGTCACAGTGTTACACAACTAGTTTTTAAAAAGGTAAATGGTATAATCCCATCTTTGTAAAAATGAAATATTACTGCAGCTTGTGTGGAGAAGTTACAAAAGTGTTGTTACTTGTTAACACAATAATACTGTTATAAGATATATTTTAATATTGTAATTTAGATGCTAGCCAAAGGGAGCTGCAGGTTATAATGACAATGCTAAGATAAAATGTTTTAATAAAGTAGCCCTAGAACACTTAGAAAATGTTTGGCAGTAATTAAGCATCCTTCTTTGGAACTTCATTTACCTTCTGATGGTCTACACAGAACCTTGTGGATCCATTGTTCCTCTTCATAAGTATAATATGTGGTGCCCAAGACTAGTACTCGGCTCTATCACTCATTGTTCCTTCATGGCTTTTATCTCTCTCAAAGCCTCAGCTTGTTTTGCAAATGAAAGTCATCTGGCTAACTGAAGCATTGGGGCTGCACAGTCAGTATGAATTTGTGAAATATTTTATTTGTTCAGTCTAAGTTATGAGATCCACTGGAGAAGATGTCTTGATATTCTTTGAGAAAGTTATGTAACCCCCAGCAGTGATAAATTGTAAGATTTCTACAGCTACCATCATACAACTCTTGAAAGTGATGTGCTAAGCTATATCTGTGTAAGGGTTTTACATTATAGTTCCTACATCTTTCTTAAAAAGTGACTACTTCTGATGTTCTTTAATGTGAAAGTACTATCTGTACAGCCTCACATCTTGCAATATCTCATCCAGATTTGACTCGAAATTTATGGTTTGTCATGTTCATGGCTCTAATGATGACATTTTTAGTCCTCAAAACCATGAGAGTTCTACCAACCATTAATCCATCAGGACATGCTGAAGTGTTTGGTTCTATTATGGCCAGTCACTAGGTGTAAATTTATTGGTAACAAGTTCTGGTATATGAGTATTTCAATTGGTTCTATTATGGCCAGTCACTAGGTGTAAATTTATTGGTAACAAGTTCTGGTATATGAGTATTTCAATTGGTTCTATTATGGCCAGTCACTAGGTGTAAATTTATTGGTAACAAGTTCTGGTATATGAGTATTTCACTTCTTTGTGGTACAATTACTGATCTCTTTTGTTAACACTGGAAGTTCCTAGTCATATATTGTGAAACTATTTGAAGCTAGCCTGAACTCATATCCATATCTCAGCACAAAGTGAATTCTCAATATAGACTGTTCATCAATATCAATTACCCATACATCATGAAGCAAAGAAATATTTCCTACAGTAAAGGTAACTTTTAATTTTTATCTTGCTGGAACTTTATTCCCACCTTCTATTCACATCACTCTCTCTTCTTTCTTAATCTCAGGAGGCAATTTCCCATCTTTCATTACCAAATCAGGTTGAATTATTGTAGCTGTAGAACCAGTGTCAATCAACATACTGCAAGTCTTCCCATCAAGAAACTTATTGATTGGTTTAATCTTTGTATTTAATAATTTATTTTCTCCCATTTTTATATTTCCACTGATGTTTTTTTTGCACCTCATTGATGTCTTTCTTTACTTCTTATATTTTGTCATTACAGCATTTCTATACTTCTCCAATCTTGTTGTAAACTCCCTGTATATCCCCTATAGCTTCATAAATCTTACATTCAAAGATATTTATTTTTGATTTTAATTCTTCTGTAAATAACAGGTCTTTTTCTTTTAATTTCTCCCTTAAATTCTTATCATATTCTTCTAATTTTCTGGGCTTGTTTTAATTTCCTATCATGTTCTTCTTGGTCTTTTATTTTACTGTAAGTTTCTTCTTGATCTTGTCTTAACAATTTTAAAATTTCAAGTAATGCTTCGCTCTCAGTTTTTGACCTCGTTATTGCTATCTTCAACCACTAAAGTCCTATTTCAAATATATTCAAAGTTCTATTTTATTTTCACCAAAACAATCCTACTTCTGATACTATTTTGTAATTTTGTTCTTCCATAAGAAGGTTCCTTCAATTATTCTAATACACATAATGATAACAAATTAGTTTATTTCCTCTTTTAACATTTCTACATGTTTAAACACTGTGGTACTTGTAGGTCATGTTTACAAATGATGCTAACTGCATTACACTAAAGTAAAGAATTAACTTACTTGGGCAAAATAACTCAATACAAGTAACTGACTGACTCACTTTATTAATTAGAAATAACTCTCTATATTCTAACTATCTTTTTTTTTATGCTTCACTGGACCCTGTATATATATAATGTACTCTCGAATTTACTAGAAACTCTAACATCAAAATGTTTACAATTTTGTAGGTTTTCCAGGCCTATTTTATTAAACCTTTCAATCTTAAAATCATAATTATGACCCACAGCTCCCTCTAGCTAAAACGTAAATTACAACATTAAAAATATACTTTATAACAATACTAGATTATTTGAATAGGCTTTCTAGTTTTATTCTTATTCATTCACTAATGGGTTTCAAACTTAGTCAAATAAAGTTATAACTATCAAAAGTTATGCATTTTATAAACTAAGTTGATATTATTCTAATTTTAATGTTGTTTGACTTTAAACTTTTGACTTTAAAATGAGTTATTTTTATTCTTTCTTTTGATTGGTTACAAAGTATTTTAGTAACTGTGCAGTTATAGATGCAATACTTAAAGCTCCAACACTATTATATGTAAAACAATACTGAATTTTCTGAAATAACAAGTCTAGAAAAGTGAGCATAGTACTGTTGGAAGAGATGACTGGTAAGTGAATAAATCTTTTACTGTTTCTAAATGTTAAACAATGCAGTTGATATAACCTGTGTGTACATTTTAACATACAAAATTTAGAATAAAAAAATAACTATATTCCAAATTATTGTACCTGATGACTGACGACAGGGTTTCCTCTGGATTTTAATATTTTTCACCACTTTATTCATTTTTTGAGACATAAATTATAAAGTTAATTCTATATATTAACTTTATTTTTTAAATGTTTAACTCCAAAATATTTTATAATCAATATATTTCTGTTTCTGACATTTATTTAGTGTAATTCATTAAGAAAAAGGCTCATATTTTCATTTCTGCATAACTGCAAAAAGTTTTTGTCTCTAAACAAAACAACCCAATTGTCAATTTTTTAAAGAATATTTCTGCCCATCCGAAAGAATAAATTTTAATTTGCCTTGAGAGTATATTATCCATTTCTTGATTTTCAAGCATTTCAAGTGATTTGATCATTTACTAATGAAACACAGCTTTGAAAACAGGTAAAGAAAGTTTAAATATGATTGAATAGACCAAGAATTAGACTTTCAATTAATAGTAGAATAAACATATTGGTTAAGTTTAAGAGTTTTTTAGAGTTTTTGTGAATGTTTCTTTTCCTTTGTGAATTGAGTGTTAAGTTATATCTGTTTGATAGCTACAGAAATTTTGTTCCATGAGAAAACGTCAGATAACTTGAGATAAGGTAAGCTTATATGTTTAGAGATGGGATGAATGAGTAATAATGGAAACTTTTACAAGCTTAACACAGTAATAAATGTTACAATGTTTGAAGAAGGTTTTGTCATCATCAGGTACAAGTAGTTTACCTAGACACAAGAATACATACAGTATGAAACAAAGAAGTCACATGACTAGAGATTGCTTAAAGCTTAATAAATGTATTTTGTTAATGTTTGGTTCTTTGTTTAAAATTACATTTTTATTACTTTTTAATAGGTATACTATTGTTTTATTGAGTTAATGTTTGTAAACATGTTTTTTTATTACGTTCACCAAATATAAAATACAACTGTCATCAATTAAGTTTACTGTTTAGTGAGTACAGCAGGTGACTGAAAAATATTTTGGTGACTCAAATCTTTATTGAATATTATTGTTCTGTTTATCCTATTTAAACAACATACATAAACAAATGGACTAACTGACTACTTAATTATTTCAAATTGTAACCGTGTTATGTTTTTAATAAAAAACATTATCACTCTTATTGGTGATAGTAAAACATATTTTAATTATTTAATTATAAATCTATTTGATTTACAGAAAATCAGCTTGGGATTATGACATATTTTAAAAACCAACATAATGGTAGCCCCATTGTGGTATTTAGTTGACATTAGAAATTCATTAGCCAAGTAGGAAATGTCCAGGTCATCTTTGAAAAAAAAAAACATTTGTGACAAAATCTTTTTGAGACAAAAGATATGTTTTTGCAAAAAAGGTAATAGGACACAATAATGCAGCAATTCAACAAGTTAAAAAGCCAGAGCATACCCATTTTTTTTCTTTGTTTGTACCACTACTCATCCACCTCTAAATTGGATACTCATTGCACTTGTTCCTTGAAGAACCTATGCTTTTCAAGATCAGTCTGGATCAAAGAGGCCAAATTTTTTTCATTCACCCATATATTTTAGAGATTTATAACAAGCTCATAGTTGTTATCTTTAACTTCTGCTTTTTTAATTACTAAATGTATTTTTCTAAAATTACAAATTAGCATTACCTCTAACAAGTGTTGTCGAGCTTCTTGATAGGTTGATTCTGGTGGTGGGCTTCCCAAAGTTGATGCAATTTTTCTTTCCCACCATGTCAACATAGCAATCTGGATTATAACAAAGAAAATATTAGTTCAAGAATTATTTTTTATAAATAAGGAATATAGTAAAAGATAGCTTATTGTAAAGGCTACCACTATTTAAAATATTTTTTCATACAAGATGCATGTAGAAAGAAAATTATCAATACTTCTTTATGCCAAAACTGTTTTAGTGGTAAAAAATGTTTAAAAGTAAATCTATTACAATACAATGTGTTGATTTTATTGAAATATATATAGATATGTAACTTTTCAAAAACTGGATTAACCCTTTGGATGCTATAACCAGATTTACCCCATGGTGTCATAAAATCTTTTCCTCATAATGTGATAATCGGAATACCCACACATCCTTAAATTTCCTGCTTTAGCAATAAATAATGTCATAATGCTATGTTTTTTACTGTCCTTATTGCAATTTAGAATAAATAAGTAAATTTACTTTATAACGTTTTCACCAATGTTTTCTTAATTTTTAAAGTAAAAGGTAATTTTTCTCTATAGAATGAAGAGAAGAGAAGGAAGGAAGGTTTGCTTCGACAGTTATGTAATGAATGTATGTGCCATATCAATCACTAGTGTGAAAATCAAAATTCTTTAAATTTTGACAAGTTCTTCACCTGACTACTATGTTAGGTCAAATTCTAAAGTTCATTTTCGAGTGGATAACTGACACTTTGAGAACCTACCCAAAATTTAATTATGCACTCAAAGGGTTAAGCTTGAATCTAAAACTGTTCTACAGTTCAGAAATCCTAAAAAAGAAGTGATATTATCAAATTAATTTGGAAAAGGAAATTCTGAGAAATAAAATAACAAAAACAAAAAAGTGAATGCATTTTTAAGGAAAGTGATGTTTTGATGGTTTATATTTTCCTTGGCAGGGGGTTTCTAATGTGGGGTTCTTAGGCATTGCATCTGTCATCTAAAGCTAATCTCAAAACTGCCTCTTGGCATTCACCTGACTAGTGGTGGTAACACCCATCGGGAGCGGAAGGGTCTGGGCATTCTACTGCACTATTTCGCTCAAGTTAGATATAGGAAATTTGAATAAAGTAGTAAAGATGGGTTAACCATTAAAAGCTAAATTGGATAGGTCAAGCAGTTATCAGAATCCTGAAGAATTAATACTGGAGTCCGGAAGCACCAATTAGAACTGATTAAGGACTAAGCAGTTGGTTTGCAGTTAAGAGAGGCATAAGACAAGAACATGCACTTTCATAAATATTAAATAATTTGCATGAAGAATGGTTGATGAAAGAGGCAATTATTGATACAGATGGAGTTAAAATAGAAATAATGTGTACAAATAGGTATGCTGATGATACAGTACTTCTGAGTGAATCTGGGGAAAAGATACAACAGTTACTTAACAAACTTGTTGATAAAGGGAATGACTATGCACTCAGAGAGTCAACAGTGTTACAATAATGTTAATTTCAGGATTTGAGGAATCTCCCAGAATAAGCTTCAAAGTAGAAGGTAAACAGATGAAATAAGAAGTGGATCATATTTATTTAGTGATGAAAAGTTCAGAAAGAGAGATAAAGCAAAGGAAAGAAATGACAAATGATCTAGAACTTGAAATGTGGTGTTACAACTATAAAGTATTGAGGTGCACAATAACAAAAAGACAACTGGTGGGCTTATGTAGAAAATAGAAGATGTTCTACTTTGGATATATAATTAAACCTAATGGAAGGTTGGCAGAGATTCTGATGGGTAAAACTGAAGAAAGAAAAGTGAGAGGCAGGTACAAACTCACTTGACTCAGTGACATTAGAAAATGGAATAGAGATGAGAAGCTTGAATTAAGAAAGTTGATGCAGGCAGTGAAAAACAGAGAACAATGGAGAACCACAGCTGTCAACCCTCAAAATAGGACAGGACACCATGATTGACTGATTTTTTCCCTCAAATCCAAATACATGTCAAGTTTACAGATATCTGCATAAACTACATAATTCTAGAAACAAAACATTCTCTCCAGTTTAGATTCTCTCATTCATGAAGTAAGGTTTGCTCTGACAGTTATGTAAAGAATGTATGTGCCATATTAATCACTAGTGAAAATCAAAATTTTTTACATTTTGATAAGTTCTTCACCTGTGTACCATGTTAGATCCTTCTATACAACAGCTTCATTTCCAAGCTTTTTTGCATTCTTCACCTGTGTACCATGTTAGATCCTTCTATACAACTGTTTCATTTCCAAGCTTTTTGAGTTATTTTGAGGCAATTTCCTCTCCAATTGTGCTTAATGTTCCATAAATGCCATTTCAGAAAAGAGAACAAAATATTCCAACAAGATACCTTACTTCTGCTTGTACATAGCTTTCCAATTCAGTGCAGTCCTCTGTATGTAAAATGTTTGATTGCCACTAACCTTGAAACTCCCACCTCAAATCACACATTTATGTGTGACATTGCTGCACTGTTGCATGCAAATGAGCATGCGACAACCCTCCACCAATAGGAGTGTGACACACAACCCTAGTGCAGCTGACTCCCTTTGTACTGATTATTCAATCATCACTTCTTGATTTGGCACCTACGAGTTAAGGTACGAGTTTTTCACTTGTGAAATTTCATAAAATTATTCTTTTTTAACTTTTTCAAATTTTTTGGTGTAAAGTTCACTTTGTATATTATTATTCAATTTAATACTGCTCCTGCAGTTCTTGTGGACCTTCTTTTTCTTTCCATATTATGAACTCTCAAGTTAATGTGACTTCTACTTTGTCTGGCATCGAGCTCCTCTTTGTCTGTTGAGGAGGTGTCAGCCATTGTGCATCGGGAGATGGAGTCCTTCATGCAGTCTTGACCTTCTTCTGAACCTGAAACAGACATTCTCTACTTGTATAACTATTTCCTGAGGATGAAGATATATACAATTTTTTCCCACCTACAGCTTTTGCCACAACATCTATTTCTGCTGTCACTGATCTCCCTAGACCTTCCACTTCTTTCTTGGATATGATTCCTAAAGTTTGTTACATATACATTATCTTTCTCCTGTATCTTATGACTCTTTGCCTTCTCTTCTACATTCAACCCCTCCTACTAAGTATTACGTTTTTCCTCCTTCTCCCGATATTCAGGTTCATGCTGATTAGTTTCTATCTTAACTTTGTTATTGGTACCAGCATGTCTTGTCCTCCTCCTATGGTTGATACACATGCCTTAGCCTATCATTGGGCTGACTTCCACTTTCTGGACACCCCAAATCTGGAATCTCTTATTCAGACTTGAGGGTCAGATCCTTTATCTTCTCTTTGTCTTTCTCAAGCTCAATCCTCTTCTCTTCATCTTATCCTTTCTATTCTTTTATGCTATCTGTTCTGTATTCACCTTCTTTCCAAGGCTATTCACCATTCCCCTGAGGGATTTTCAGCAGTTATGAGTTCACTTATCTTTTCTATTATGGCATGGATATCTTCTTTGGCCTTGTCACACTATAATTGGTTGTTCTGATGCTGGGATTTATTAGGGAGGGATGCCTTTCTTATTCATGTACATTTACTTACCTTTTATCTCAGACTTTCATCTGGCTTCTTTCCTATGCTAGTGTTTTTGTTTTGTTTTGGGGGGGGGGGAGTACCTGACTCACTGGAATCATGTGTTAAGGTTGCACACCAACATTATTCCCTATCCTCCCTAGTTTCCCTTTTCTCCCATGCTCCTTCTTTACCTATTTCTGTCTCCTGTCCCCCTTCCCATTTTTTTGCACCAATCCATCCTTCCCAAGGCAAACAGATCTGTGGTCCATGAATGGTGAGACATGCTAGCACCAGCTTGCAACTAAGAAACAATTTGCTCAGCATGAATCCTGACATCAGGAGAAGGTGGGAAAACAAAATACTGAGCGGAAGGATTGTCATGTAATAAGGAAGGAATAGGATTATAAGAAATCAGGGAAATGGATAAAATGGAACATGCCTGAGAAATCATGTCTACAAAGGCTGAATTAGGCCTGGCAGGTTCCACAGGAGAGGAGTGGAAAGGCACGGCATAAGTGGGAGGAGGAATAAGACAGTAAAAATCCTTGTTGTCATAAAAAAGTTTGGCTTATCCAGGAGGAAGTCAATCACTATCAGGATAAGAAGATTGACTTAGATAACATTCAATCTTCCAGCAAATAAAGGCCAAACATTCCTCAGTCGAGTTCCCCTGACCTGAAGCCTGTGTAAGTGTGGAATAACCTCTGAAGTGGTCACAGTAATTTCGGTATTCATCATTAAAAGATGAAATATTGAAAGTTATTTAAACAAAAAAAGAATAACAACAAAGGGAAGTTTGCACAGAAAACAGTAGTAAAATTTAGCAATGATCTTTCTACTTTGTATGGTACTAATAAAGAAAAAAACATGTGAATAGCACCAAGTGATAGTTTTGTAGAATCAAATAGAGGGAGCCACATGCATCAGGTGGTTGTGTTGCACTCCTATTGGTGGAAAGTTGTCCCATGATAATTTGTATGAGAGATGCAGTGGAACCACAATAATTGTGGGTAAGAGGGAGTGCAAGGCATGTGAGAAAATGTTTGCATATACAGGATAGCACTGAATGAGAATAGCTATATATGTGTGAGTAGAGGTAATGCACCATATCGAAACTGGCTCTTTTGCACATGTTGTGACATTCTCATGTTACATTCGAAATTTAATTAAATGACTTTATCATTGTCAATAATTTGGCATGAAAATATAGTCTATAATTCAAATTTGTACATTATCTAAGTTATAGCTTATTAATTCAAAAATAAATATTTAAAAAATTCCCAATCTTCATTTTTCTGTGTCACATGCTGTGTCAGAGTTCCAATTTCTCCCTTCCAGAAATTTTTAACATCAAACATAGGCTGCTGAAATTCCACACCAACCAGGAACACAAACTATACACAATTACAAGCAAGAACATAAAGTCTGAATTTTCTATGTTACTGATTTGCTGAGATATCAATTAATCTGTCAAACCCACCATAGAAGCCCATCCCCACTCTAACTTCTGAGATCTATACGAGTCAATTTCTAGTTGTCTTGATTTCAACACCTAGATTATTCACTCATTACATTTTTCTTGTCCCATTAGCATCATGGTGCTCCTCCAAACATCTAACTGAATTTTTATAACCTGTTTAGAGCATACTTAGAAAGCCAGATACGTTATAGAGTTTTGGAACATTCTATTCTAGTGAATAATATATTTTTTGCATTCTAAAATACATATTTGAAAACTACATGGTTTTTATGTATATATTTTTTAACAAAAGTGACTAAAATGTAAAAGTTGAAAACTTCTCAGCTTAGCTTAACAAAACTTTAGTAAAACAAACATCTAAAACTTCACAAACTCAAGCATCTATGTAACATGACGCTTCACTATCACATGCTATTTACACTAGCTCTATAGAAAAGAACTAAGGCATCCCTACTGTCACTTACTGCTTTTGATGGAATGATTAATGCTCCAATGGTACAAAGTAGATCAATAAAATCATAAAATGAAAAGGAAGCAGATGTGAAAAGCTTAAGTTGTTAAATAATTTGTATTTTTCTGACCAATACTGCAATAGTGCAGAGGAAAAAAATGTATTATTAATTTTATTTCATACTTTTCAACATTTTATTTTACTATACATTGATGACTTCAGTACAGTTAGTGTTAGGATAGATAAAATAAGAAATACAATATAAAGTCTTACCAAAACAAAAACATGTTATTCATTTAAGAGGTTGTAGAGGTTATGCAAATGAAATATGAAAACTGTACAAGTAGTTGAAATATCATCGGTGTTAATTATGTAGAAGAGCGTTTATTACAGAAACCAACGCTGCATTTAAATCATTTTTCTCAATCAATAAAAAAAAAAGGTTATTAAATTCCCAAACCTCATAACACCACCTTCCAAGCATATGATGTAGAGTTGGATCGTCTGGCTTGAGTTCCACAGCAAGATCTACATGTTGCTAAGTAAATAACAATAATTACGAAACATCTCACACTACTTTCAGAAATGAAAATATTAAATTTTTGGATCACTTTGTGTTGAAACATTATTTTGTACAAAACAAGGACTAATTTTATACCTATGATAATCTTATTTTCCTCTACCCATAACAACTGAAGTTTTAAATGCTTTCATGTATATTGTTCCTTTAAGCATGAAGTTACATTTAAAGTATCCATGTGCTTAATCACCAAGATGTAGCTGTGAATATTCTATTCACCACAGTGTGTTTAATCATCTTGTTTTAGTTGTGTTCATATAAAATCTCAGATCTAAGCTGAAAATACAACTAATACCATTCTATAAGTTTTTTTACTTACAATTTTTCACTAAAACTACTGAATTTTCATTGATGGAAATAAACATTATTTCATGGCATTGATTATAAATCAGAAAAATGCTAAACATAATAGTAACTAGTGAGATTACTATCAGATAATCAGATACAGGTTAACATAAGTTAGTCTTAGTTTTAGGATCAAGTTTATGATTTTATACAGGCAACTATATTGAGGCGATAAAGTACATGATGGTGAACAGAATGTGCACACCTCTATCTAAGCCTAAGCATGTAGATATTTTAGGTGCATCTTCACTGTACAAAGAGACAATAAACTTAACAGTATATGCCATTTCTCTTGTTAGAGGTAAAGAATTAGGTTATCATGGATGTAAAGTTAGTTATCATTCTGTTCACAACAATATTCCAATTTATTATTTTAAAGCTGTAAAATGCAGATTCAACACTTATTTTTGCAATTCACAGCATTAATTGATTAAGCTTAACAAACTTGAATGAATAACAAATAATAATGAGAAATCTTGTTGCAATAACTTGATTACTTGGATAGCTATAATAATCAAAAACAGTAATAAATGGAAATATTAATTCTAATTAGTTGACCATTTTCATGAGATTAATTAATTTAAAAGTAATTTTGATTAATCTTTAATGTTACATGACACTGGTTCATGTAATCAATACTCCTGGGTAATTGATTATATTGAGTAAATTACCAAGCTTTACAGATAGTAAGATTAGTGTTATGTAAAAATCATCAATTAGCTGAATGTAATGACTTGTGTAACAGAAAAACAAGTCAATATTTTAACTGGAATTTTTCCAACAAGATGATTTGTCATATTGCTCATTAGGGTAACAGAAACTTAAAACCTCGGTATCCCTGTGGGTTTACATTAAATATAGAAAAGTTGATGTTCTACTGATACTAATTTCAAGTTTTTTAATTTGATAAAAAATACACATTTAGTTAAATTTAATGGCCACTGCCTAAGCTTTAAAATTTCATGTGATGTCATCAGCAGAAATGTTTTCTGTCCAGCATTTACTAATAAGCTTAAATTCATCTTTTAGATCACAAAATTTAAATTTAAACTGTAACATTTTTACAATAAATATTCATAGTGTGTAAAATTTGAAAATGGTAAAATTGACTGAATATGGATTTTCATTTCCCAAAATATAAAATTAATTAACAAATTAATTGGTTTTTAATACAGTCTATGAACAAAGCACTAGTTTGTAGATTTAATAATCCATGTAAAATTTTTCACTATGAATTTCCTCTAAAAGAGATTACATTTAATACAAATTGCATTCACAATATTATTATTAAGTTGTTTTTTGAATTAAAAGACAAACCATTCCTAGCTAATATCAGTCCTTCATGTTTGAAAAATGAACAAGGGACTATAAGCAGGTTGATGCCATATTTTGATTCTTTTATACAAAATTGGACATTAAAAGTTAACTTGTACTGATTGAGTTGTACTGCTTTTCTGATCAATACAGCAGCCCTTGCAGCCTTGTGTCATGCAGAAAGTAGTTCAAGAAATGCAATTTAGATCACAATCAAATTTGCTGAAACTTTTCCTGCTAGTATGAATTTGCTAATAATTAATATCCAATTTTTTAACTTAAACTTTAAAACATTGTCTTAGTTTCTCAGTTACAAATATCTGATGTCTATATACAACAATATAGTTTTAAAATGTCATATTACTGTCCATGTAACATCACTAGTCCAGGCCAATTGAAATTAAAGTACTGGAGTCATAGCAGCCAATAGAATTACACAGTTATTTGTCAGTTTGTCTGTGAATACAAACAACAGCTAATTGTGTGACCAATGCCATGACAAATAATAACAGGATCTGAATTCAAACTTCTACAAATATATGAATATTACTAATTTCAACACTGATATATTTCAAATTCTGTACTACCATAAACATAATTAGATTCTTGAACTTTCAGTAATATTCTATTTGAATAATGGAGTTGGCTATTGATGTATTCTGTACTCTTGAATACTAATGAATCAAAATGTGATTCAGACTGAAAATTATATATAACATTGCATATAATAGGCCTAATACTAATGCCTTATGACAAGTATAATTAATTATAACCATGCATCGCCAGCTTCAAAAAGGTGTTCACACCAGAACTATAGAAATGTTTAAAGAATGACACAATGTTCTGTAATATTAACTAACTATCCTTAGCTGATCAGAGCAGGTGTTTTTCTTTCCAACAATTAAACATTGTGATAAAGATAGATTCCCAATTGTTAGAGGTCTTGAAAAACTAAACTTAAGTTTGTTGATAAACAGAATTACATATCTCTACAGGTGATTAATTTGTGGAATAGCTTATCCAGAAAAGTTGTGTGTTATTTAACTTATTAATTTCGGTTCTTTCACATCTGTGATGAATAAACTTACAAAAAGAAAGGATTATATGTGATGTGTGGAAGACTGATAGGGAAATTCAGTGGGTCAACTGTTTCTTTTCTCATACACATTTTTGTCACGATCTTATGAAAAAATCTAATTTTCATAACTTCATATCGTTTGAAAGTTTATCAGTAAATACACAGCAAGATTACAAGTCATTTTACATCAAGATTTAAAATTGAAACTCAAAACATAAAGTAAGTTTGGGTAGTGTAAAGAGCTGAATGAAATTGAGGATAATGCTGCTGAGTGAAGAAATTCAATCACATGTAATAATAGGTTCAGATTCATAAAAGTGCTAATTACAAGAAACTACACTATTTTCCTTTGGCTTGTTTAATTACTGCTTTCAAACATATTTGAATTCAATTACTTATTAAATAATTTACTTACTTTGAAAGAATATCCATTTTTCACTTTCTCATGGAGGCCTCCATAATTGGACAAGCTTCCCACAGTGATAGCATACCATTTGTGGACTTCTGGATCTGATGAGTCAGCTTCTAATGCTGAGCTTGCATAGTTAAAAGCTATAACCATGAAAATAGCAAGGGTTTCAAACTTTAACTGGCAAGAAATATAAATTCAAATCATGTATAATTGATGCTAGCAAAAATTTGAATTATTTTCCCTTCCAACAACAGGTACTAGACTCTTAGAAAAAAAGGATGAAGATATTGTGTTCCTAACACAGTATTATGTCATATGATATATCAGTGGTGGATGCTAGTAGGTGCCCTCATCCTCCAATAACTTTGGTGCACCATAAATAAAATTTTAAAATATGTTTGATAATATGTTTAAATATTTATTACATGTTAATTAATATGATGTTAGGAAGACACATGTAGGTTCAAAAATTCAATTAAAGATAAAACATAAAACCTATAACTCAAGTACTTGCAAAAGGTGGACCTTTCTGATCAGAGGGAAACTGGGAATGACTAAGTAGAGTGAAGTGAGAGAAAAAGTGAAGTGACATCACAGTAGACCACCATGACAACCTGGAAGTGTTCTGATTAGCTTTCAGAGGATTGCTGCAGGTGTGGTTAATCTTTTTGCCCAACACCTCAACCAACCTGGTCATTATATTAAGGATGTGATTCTCATAGGTATTGAAACTGGTTTCTAAGCTAAATCTGATAGTGAAATGAAAAAATCCTATTGGATTGCCACTTTAAATGCTGTTCAGCCTTGTGGATATAAACTTAAATAATTTTTGACCATAACTGTGTTCTCTGTCTGACAAATAAGTTTATCCTTTCTCATGCGTGGTGTTAAATCCTCTATTTTTACCCTTGATCTTTCTTAATACCTATTAATTATTTCCAATAATTTTCCATGTTTGAGTTTTAGTTTTATCCACTTAACATTTTCTTGTTAATCTATCTTCATATATTTAGTTTATTTCATCAATACCAAATATAGTTACCCACGACATTTCTGTAAAAAACAAAACAAAAAACTTTCTAACCTCTTTATATATATGACATTCTCATATCCTGTCACATTACACAACAAAAATGAGACACCCTGCAACAATCCTTTGAAAGCCAATCAAAACCTTTGGGGTTGTTATGGTGTTGAACCATGACATCACTCCTCCTTTCATCAAACTTCACTTTATTTATTTAGACATTCTCAATTTGCCTCTGATGAACAAAGGTTCACTTTTGAACAAGTCAAACAACAGAGTTTTATATTTTTGTCTTCAATATATAATCAACATGAATTAGTTTAACAATAAAGTTGCTGAATTATATTTAAATAGAAAAATGTTTCTCCCAATATTATGTCCCTACTTTCAAGACCTTTAGACCTTGGCACCCCTGTTTGCACTCCCTATTATATATACACACGCACACAAATATATATGATTTATCTTACTATCTTCGATGTGTGTGTGTATATATATAT